TGTGAAATCCACTGCTGGTTGTAAGTCAAGAACCCCTCACACATATAAACATAATTCTCATAATGACATTCTCATCATATTAGAAGGAACTAACTGACATCACTGACTATCGGGGGCAAGTCTTTGGCCCCCGCGGAGAGGGCGCGCAATCTGGGAGTCCTCCTGGATACGCAGCTGTCCTTGGAAGAACACCTGATGGCTGTAGCCAGGGGGACCTTCTGTCAGGTTCGGCTGATTCGCCAGTTGCGGCCCTTTCTTGATCGGGATTCCCTGTGCACAGTCACTCATGCCCTCGTCACCTCTCGCCTGGACTACTGCAACGCTCTCTACATGGGGCTCCCCTTGAAGAGCACCCGGAGGCTCCAACTGGTCCAGAATGCGGCCACACGGGTAGTCACGGGAGCCACATGGCGCTCCCATACAACACCTCTCCTGCGTGAGCTGCACTGGCTCCCAGTAGTCTTCCAGGTGCACTTCAAGGTGTTGGTTATCATCTTTAAAGCGCTCCATGGCATAGGATCTAGTTATCTTCGAGACCGCCTGCTGCTACCAACGGCCTCCCACCGACCTGTGCGCTCCCACAGAGAGGGCCTCCTCAGGGTGCCATCAGCCAAACAATGTAGGCTGGTGACCCCCAGGGGGAGGGCCTTCTCTGTGGGGGCACCTACCCTCTGGAATCAGCTGCCCCCAGAGATAAGGAGAATCCAAGACCTCGGTGCCTTCCACCGTGCCCTTAAAACCTTCTTTTTCCAGCAAGCCGGGTTGGCCTAACATTTTTTAAAATGTTTTTAATTGTTTGTTATTGTTTTTAATCATGGGGCCAAATTTATATATATCTTTTTAATTGTATTTTAATGTTTGTAGTTTATGCTTTTACTTGGCTGTTCACCGCCCTGAGTCCTCAGGGAGAAGGGCGGTATACAAATTTAATAAATAAATAAACTTGGAATGGACATCGAATGTTGTTGGTGATACAGACTCCTCGAGCCACAATTTTTTACAGCGACATTCTAAGGCAGGGGTGCCAAACTCCCTTTCACTGAGAGCCGCATCAGGGTTGTGTTTGACCTCAGGGAGCTGGGGTGGGTGTGGCCAGCTGGACATGACTTGTGTCAGGGGCACCTGTGGAGGCTCGAGTGCTCTGCCAGAGAAAACGGGCTCCCAAGCTCTGTTTTAGGCTGAGACGCCCTCCTGCAACCCTCTGCCAGTGAAAACAGAGCTGACGAGGGACACCCGCAGCCCTTCTGAGCTCCATTTTCGCTGACAGAGACACCATGAGCCGGTCCTTCGCTGTTTCCAGGATGGTCCCGCAGGTCAGATCTAAGCACCCTGCAGGCCGGATCTGGCCCCCAGGCATTGAGTTTGACACCCTTATTCTAAGGAATGATGACAAGTGAATGACTGTTCAAAGATGTTCAGGTAGATGCGAAGGTTAACCTGACTAAGGTAAAGGAAGTTGTGTTTTGTTCTTTTTTTTTACCGCAACTCTTCATTACGGTAACCCATTGCTGATTGAACTGGAGAATAAACCTGATTAAAGGATCCCCACAAACATCAACCAGCAACTAAAATAAAAATAAACCAACAAGTGAAATCCCTGCGTCTAGAAAGCCGTCGGATTAAATTGAATTTTATACCAGACAGAAGGTGGGTTTGGCAACACGAACGCCCCTAATTCAGCTTTACCACCTCTGAGAACTTAAAGACTGGAATGTCCTTGAAATCAAAAGCGATGTGAAACCGCCTGGATAAATGTACTTGAAAGGCCCCCGTCCTGTATGAAAACCTTTCTTCGGCTTAAGGACAAATCCTAAGAAAGAGATTTTGGCACTCTGAAATGCCTCCGCTAACGTAGAACGAGATTGATTTTGGGGAACCCGCCCGCTTCTATTGTGAGAAGTCCCTGACTGTGTTGTTTTACTCACATGTCCCAATTGCAACAGATTAGGATCTCAGCCGTACAGCCTGATCCTACGCCGAGTGCAACAACCTGCTAAGTGCTTGTTAACAGCCACTGCCTTCCAAAGGGCTCCCGACTTAACCACTGCTACCAGAGGCATTAATTGCACAATTGGACAAACATTTCCAAAAAGCCCCAAATCGGCTTCGGCTAGATAAAGACCTTATCTGGTGCACTGTTTTTCCTCTAACCGCAGAAGACAGACCACTCTTTGGCAGAGTCCGTAAAGAAGTTGAATAACATTTTTTTAAATCTTGCAAGATGTTCCTTCCCCTCTTCTCACATTGTCAAGCATCAGTGTCGGAGAGATAAGTAGAATTTGGGAGGCTTTTGTTGTCTCCTACTCTTTCTCCAAAAGATCCTCCCTCCCTCCCGCTCTCTCTTTAATCTCCCGATGCCAAGGTTTGGCTGGCATCCCTATGTTTGATTCATTGTATACCGGGGGGGAATCATTCGAATTGCCAACACCACAGGGTTAAGCGGCTCAGATTTCTGGGCTGAGAAATCTGCTTATTATTACAACACACACTGTCGCTTGTTTAGGGAAAAAAAAACTGCCTTCTGACACTTAGCAGCTACTGGACAAATTCATCTCCACTCATCATTACTGACACCCATTAGCCCAACTCCAAACAAGTGGCTATCGTTCCAAACACACTCGGCGTGGTCCAGCCAGAGGTAAACACCCATTGAATTCGATGGAAACAGGTGCTTAATCCTCAAATACGAAAGAATATATCAACGGGGATGGAATTCGCTTCACTTTGGAGGAGTGTGTATTTTATCAAGATAGCAACGTGGAGTCCTGCAGCGCCATAGAAGCCGGCAAATCTCGCCCAGTCTTGCCATGCTACTTCAGGTAGTCCTTGACTTATGACCATAAGAGAATAGACTAGAATAATAGAATAGAATAACAGAGTTGGAAGGGATCTTGAAGGTCTTCTAGTCCAACCCCCTGCTTAGGCAGGAAACTCTGCCCCACTTCAGACAAATGGTTATCCAACATCCTCTTTAAAACTTTCAGTGTTGGAGCATTTACAACTTCTGGAGGCAAGTTGTTTCACTCATTAATTGTTCTAACTGTCAGGAAATTTCTCCTTAGTTCTAGCTTGCTTCTCTCCTTGATTAGTTTCCACCCATTGCTTCTTGTCCTGCCCTCAGGTGCTTTGGAGAATAGCTTGACTCTCTCTTCTTTGGGGCAACACCTGAGATATTGGAAGACTGCTATCATGTCTCCCCTAGTCCTCCTTTTCATTAAACTAGACATACCCAGTTCCTCCAACCGTTCTTCATATGTTTTAGCCTCCAGTCCCCTCATCATCTTTGTTGCTCTTCTCTGCACCCTTTCTAGAGTCTCCACATCTTTTTTACATCATGGAGACCAAAATTGAATGCAATATTCCAACATATCTGTTGGAATCTATCATTGAGACCAACATATCTGTTGCTGAGTGAGACAGTTGTTAAGTGAATTTTGGCACATTTTACGAACGTTTTCTTGTCCCAGTTGTTCAGTGGGTTCCCCATTGAAGGTCACAAAGAGGTGATCACAGGACCTTGTAACACTGCAACCGTCATAAATACATGCCAATTGCTAAGCATCCGATCATGTGACCATGGGGATGCTGCAACAGTCGTAAGAGGGGAAAATGGTCATAAGTCACTTTTTTTCAATGCCGCTGTAACTTCGAACGGTCATTAAATGAACTGTAGCAAGTCGAGGACTGCCTGTAATAGAGCATTATATGAAAACAAGCTTCCTTCCCTTTTAAGCAGAGAAGAAAAGGGCTTTTGAATCCACAGAAAGGTGATGGGAGCACTGTTAGATTACGCAGCCAAAATGATATTATACAGTGGTGAAATGCAGCTGGTTAAATCCAGTTCGGGCGAACTGATAGCGCCGGAGGCAGGAGGCTCCGCCCACCCGCCCGGACATCATCACGTCCCATTTTTGATGCTCTGCATATGCGCAGAAGGTCCTGTGTATGCGCAGAGATGTCGCGCGCGAGCGATCCTATTTGCGAACCGGTAGCGAAGGTAAGTGGATTTCACCCCTGATATTATGCATCTACAACAGGGAGACATTTGCAGGCTGCAAGGAAACCACAAAATGGCAGGTGGTCCTTGCCTTAGAAACAATCGCTTAACGACCGTTCAAAGTTACGACCTACCTCAAAAAGAGGACTTATCACCTGGATCCGAAGTTCTGATGGTCGCCATCCTACATGGTCACATGGCTGTACTTCGGGCGCTCGGCAAGATGGCTGCATTTACGGCCATTTGCAGCATCCTGCAGTCACATGATCGTGGTTTAGGATGGCTTTGGCAAAACAGTAAATGCGGCTGTGTTGCCAAACACCTGAATTGCAATCGCATATCTACGAGGGGGGAGGGGGTTGACCATCAGAACTTCAGGTATCGGTTGTAAGTCCCCATTTTGGGGTCCATCGGAACTGTGAATGGTTGCTAAGTGACTGGAGCACCTGTAATGGATGGTGTAGATGTCCAATAGAACCGGTAGAGTGGCAGATCCAAATTCATTCTAGGGAAATTCACGATTAATGCTTATTAATCATAATGATTGCTTGGACCTTCTGTTGCCAGGTACTAGGTAAATGCCGTAGCTGAGAATCAATTTTGCAAATATTTCAACACAGAAAATGATTTTTTTCCTGTCATGAGCCAAATATATGCCGTAAGCAAGTAACATTGGATGCGCAAATGGAGGGACAGTGGGGGAGAGGGGATGGTTTCGCGCACGCACCGCTTTCACAAATGCAGGTTCACATGCTTGTGTGTGTGAGTGTGCTTGCCCACCACTTCCGTGCCCCGGTTCTGAAGAGGCCGCGGCTCGGCACTGGGCCGCAGCCCAGGGGTTGGGACCCCTGCTCTACACCTTCTTCAATTTCATCGTGCTGCATCAGGAAAACTTTGCTAAGATTCATAAAATCTGGAACTTGCCACACAAAAAAAATATGCACATCACCTCCTCCCACCCTTCCCATGGAATTAAATTCTGTGGGATGCAAAGGGATCATACCCCACATTGAAATATTGCCTCATCTCTTGACGCCGATTCCTCATGATTGCCTTATATTCGCCGATCCGTAACTTCTTGCCATCTACTAAGCACGTCCGCTTCGGCCTGGGCTTGTACTTGTAGTCTGGGTACTTCTCCAGGTGCTGCTTGCTGAGGCGAGCCTGCTCCTCGTAGTATGGCTGTTTTTCAAGGTTCGTCATAGCTTTCCAACGAGACCCTATCAAGGAAAGAGGACAAGAAAATCAACCTTCCTTTCAAATAGTCTAACAGAATAACAGAGTTGGAAGGAACCTTGTAAGTCATCTAGTCCAACCCCCCGCCCAAGCAGGAGACCCTACACCATTTCTGACAGATGGCAGTCCAGCCTCTTCTTGAAAGCTTCCAGCGATGAAGCTCCCACAACTTCTGAAGGCAACTTCTGTTCCATTGGTTGATTATTCTCACTGTCAGAAAATTTCTCTGTCAGGCCTGGAAGCCATCTTTGCATTGGATCTTCAGGCCTGCCACATTTAGTGCTGTGGGAAACTGGAAGGGGGAGTGTATGGAGTAGGGGAGATATATAGTCATAATAACATTCCTTTCTCTGAGAGTCAAGGACACCTTGCCCTGCACCTGGATTGGTGTGACTGGGAGACATCTCCTGTCGGGACGGTGCATTGATTGGACCATGTGATGGACATGTGGGTTCTGGGCAGGGACTTGGACTTTTCTATGGGTGGGGAAAACCTGGAAGCTTTCAGATTCGGGTTTTCTCAGATGTGCTTTGGAACTTTGAGGAACTTCTAGCCTCAGAGTCTTCTTTCGTTGGGGGTGTTACTTGGAACCCTGAACATTCTCCTTATTTCCAGGTTGAATCTCTCCTTCTTCAGTTTCCACCTGTTATTCCTTGTCTGGCCTCCAGGTGCTTTGGAAAATAGCTTGACCCCTTCCTCTCTGTGGCAGCCCCTCAAATATTAGAAGACTGCGATCATGTCTCCCCTGGTCCTTCTCTTCACTAGACTAACTCCTGCAACCGTTCATCGCATGTTTTAGCCTCCAGTCCCCTAATCATCTTTCTTGCTCTTCTCTGCACTCTTTATATGGTCAGAGCAGTGAAAATGTATTACCTCAACTCAGATTGCCAAAGGGAAAAGTACAAGTAGTCCTCAAATAGTCCTTAGTCTGCAGAGCCTGGATAAGTAGTCCTTAGTCTGCAGAGCCTGGATAACTCTGCAGACTAAGCACTGTAATTTAACACCAGCTGTCTGCAATCAAAGTAAGTTCGAATCTTACCAGGCTCAAGGTTGACTCAGCCTTCCATCCTTTCTAAGGTAGGTAAATTGAGGACCCAGTTTGTGGGGGCAATAAGCTGACTTTGTATAAAATATACAAAAGTATGAAGGCTATTGCTTAACACACTGTAAGCCGCCCTGAGTCTCTGGAGAAGGGCGGCATATAAATCAAATTAAAAAAAAAAATTACAACACTTCGTTTAGTTCAAAGTTACCATGAATGAGTGAAGTAAAGTAAAACTAAGGAAAACACTTTTTCTTTTATATGAGCAGATCGGAACAAGGTAGTGCTGTGCTGATATTGAAAGAAAGGGAAAAAAAACATTACAATTGCAGGAATGATATTCATTCGCAGGCCAGTTTCTTTTGCCTAGTGGAACAGGGAGGATGGTTGTTTCTTAAAAAAGGGAAGAGGGGAAAAAAAAAAGACTCTTAATGGTCATAAATCTGGGGTGGGAGGCTGAGAGAGGGAAGGGAAAAAATGATCCAGTGGGGATATTACTTAGTCATGCTTTGCAGTTCTCAGTCTCTTTGGGGAAACTGAGAGGAATGGAAGCAAAGATTGGATGGAGATTGTTGCCAGGTTCCTGTCAGGAAAATGTCTCAGGGAGTCTATTTCTATTCATGTAATACTCTAGAGCAGGGGTGTCAAACTCAAGGCCCACAGGCCAGATCTGGCCCTTGGAGTGCTTAAATCTGGCCCACAGGGCTGGCCGGGAAATAGCAAAGGACTGGCCCGCAGTGCCTCTGTTAGCGAAAACAGGGCACGGCCCATGCGGCCTGTTTTCGGCCTGGATGGCCTCCTGCAGCACCCTGTTGGCCAAAATGGGGTGCAGAAGGGCCCACCTGCATGCCCCATTTTGGCCAACAGGGTGCTGCAGGAGGCTGTCCATTCTGTCTCCCCCCTCCCAGCTGGCCCGTGGATAAATACAATCAGAGGTGAGTTTCAGCAGGTTCTGACCAGTTCTGGAGAACCGATAGCGGAAATTTTGAGTAGTTCGGAGAACCGGTAGTAAAAATTCTGACTGCCTCTGCCCCCATCTATTCTCTGCCTCCCGAGTCCCAGCTGATCGGGAGGAAATGGGGATTTTGCAGTAACCTTCCCCTGGATTGGGGAGGGAATGGAGATTTTATAGTATCCTTCCCCTGCCATGCCCACCAAGCCACACCCACCAAGCATGCCACGCCCACCAAGCCACGCTGACAGAACCGGTAGTAAAAATTTTTGAAACCCACCACTGACTAAAATGCTGATCCGGCCCTCGAAGAAATCCAATTTGACACCTCTGCTCTAGAGAGGCCATTTAATATAGATAGTCCTCGAGTTGCAACCGTTCATTTAATGACCATTCAAAGTTACAACGGCACTGAAAAAAAGTGACTTGTGACCGTTTTTCGCTGTTGCGATCTTTGAAGCATTCCCATGGTCGTTTGATCAAAATTTAGATGCTTGGCAATTGGTTCATATTTATGACAGTTACAATATCCTGGGGTCATGGGATCACCTTTTGCGACCTTCTGACAAACTAAGTCAACAAGGAAGCCTGATTCACTTAACAACCATATTGCTAACTTACCAACTGCAGTGATTCACTTAACGATTCTGGCAAGAAAGGGGATAAAATGAGGCAAAATTCACTTAACAACTGTCTAGCTTAGCAATTTAGCCCAACCATTGTCTGGCTTAGAAATTTGGAGCTCAGTCGTGGTTGTAAGTCGAGGACTAGATCACTATTTCTCAAGCTTGGCAACTTTAAGCTGTACAGACTTCAACTCCCAGAATTCCTCAGCCAGTGAGGCATAAATCTTGGTTAGTTTCAATTTGGCTTACACTTTTTTGTGATTCAGAATATTGTGTGAGCCCAGGACACTTGCTTGGTTCATGATTCAGTGTCTTATGTAAAATACTAATCATAATATGATGACAGTTACAGTATTAGCAGACGGGGTTCCATACCAGAAAAGCTGTACAAAATTTCCATCTATCAACTACTAAAGTACCACATTGCTTGGATCCGTACATATACAACGCCAATGTTTTACAACACCTGGCTAACTTTTTTTTTTTTTTTACATTATTTTATTTGTTAAAAAAAGCAAAAGCAAAAAGGAAGCCTGTTGCACTGCAAAGTGAAATACAGAGATCCTTCTGGGATCCTAAAGGCCTTTTCTAGTAAATAAGAATACACTGAAACCACTGCAAAGTAATTACCGCAAATGGTTAAATTCTCCTTTCTAGATTTTAGTGCATGAAGAGTTATTAAAATGATATCTTTACAGTAAAAGATCGTTTTTATGGATTTATTGGGGAAGTAGTTTCTGTCCAAGCCAAATTTCCACTAAACCATAATTCACATGGTGTAAAATTTAAAATTTATATTCATTGCATACATTTTGCAGAAAGTCCCTTGATGTATGTAAAATTTAAGTAACGTATGCCGTGCGTGCAATAATTACGGATTAATTTGTTAAACAATAGCGATTCAAATTCGTACATTGTCTGTTGCTGCATTGCACGTCTGCTAAACTGGAGCCTATAAATTAAGGGATTAGTTACTGAGAATCAAATTAAGATTGGGTCACTGAAGAGGTTTAACTCGAATGACTCATTTTATTTATGTACTTCGTTTTAAAAAGTAAAATTCTCCTATTTTACCATCTCTAGTTAGTATAAAACAAAGCAGATAAAACAAATCCTACAAAAACGCTGTACAAGTCTTTTTCCTCTGATGGCCACAACTGAGCCCCAAATTTCCGTTTGCTAAGCAAGACAGTTATTCTCTCTTCAGCAAAAGACTTTTTTTTACATTCTTCAAATCAAGAGTTTTACACGCAAGCACGTATAGCGTTTGTGGTGCTTCCTCAGAAAAACACATCATGTCGACTTCAGAAACTTGATGTAAGCCGAGAAGAAAAGAAGAAAGAAAAATATCTGTCTTGGAAAAAAAAAAGACCTCGATATTTGTGAGCCTCTCTCAACCTTTCCAGTTATCAACTTTTCCCTGCTGAGTTTAAAAATAAAAATAAAAATCAACAACTGGCTTTTGACAGATCAGAAAAGTCTTCTGTGATAAAGGTAGTCCTTGATTTACAACGGTTCATTTTAGCAACCGTTCAAAGTTATAACGGCATTGAAAAAAGTGACTTGTGATCAGTGATGGGCCAGACCAGTTCAGGCGAACCGGTAGTTCCGACCAGCAGTTGGGCCCACCCACCTGCCCTGGCGCTATCACGTCATATATAATTGCCGGTTTTTCAATGCCGCGCACAAACGAGTAAACCATGATCACATTTTCGTTTCCAGGCGAACCAGTTGTTACAGTATGTGACGCCTACTTCTTCTTTTGACCGTTTTTCACATTTATGACCATTTCAGCTTCCTCATGGTCACATGATCAGAATTCAGAACCTTGGCAACTGACTCGTATTTATGATGTTTGCCGTGTCCCGGGGTCATACGATCCACCTTTTGCGACCTTCTGACAAGCAAAGTCAATGGGGAAGCTAAATTCCTTTAACCATCTTGTTACTATATTAACAGCTGCAGTGATTCACTTAAACAACTGTGGCAGGAAAAGTTGTAAAACAGGGCAAATCTCACTTCACAACTGTTTCGCTGAGCAACAGAAACATGGGGCTCAATTGTGATTGTTAAGTCGAGGGTTATCTGGACATGCATCTGACTCCTCTTCCTTCCTTTTTCTTCCTTGCCGAAGAGGCAGGAAATTTCCCTTTCGACACCGAAGTTCAAATAATAACAACAATAAAACAAGAACTCTCGCTTCCAGGTTTGCAAACCTCATCACTCTTTCAACAGGAGGAAGCTGAGGGCTGAGTAGGGCTCTCACCCCTCCTAGAATCTGGAATGAATTTGCACATTATAGTCCACCTACTGTATATTTAATCAGACAAAGATGCCGCTGAAAGTTCCAGTTGCATTCTTTCTCCTCATTTCCCAGCCCAAATCCAGGGCGAAACAGTAAAAGACGATTCCTTATGTTTTTTTTTTTTTTAAAGTTTCAGCTGAAATGGCTTATTAAAACCAGATTTGGAGGGTATTATAAAATGCTTAGAAGCCCTTTAAAATGTCAACACAGACCCTCCAGAGACGTTTCTATTCAAAATGTCAGTCTGGTTCAAACGCCTATTTTAAGCAGAATGAATTAGCTGCCGACCACTCGGCAGTTGTTATCTAAAACAATCGGTTCAGATCGGGGAAACCTTGAGACCCATTTGTGCTTTCATACAGAGGTGGGATTCAGCCGGTTCGGGAGAACCAGCAGTGGCGACTGCAAGAGACTCCGCCCACCCGCCCTGACTTAATGCGTGAGTATTGCCCATCAGGGGTGGGTTCTACTTACCTTTACTACCGGTTTGCAACGGTATGCATGCGCAGATCACTTCTGGTGATGTCAGGGTCAGTGGGCAGAGCCTCCCGCCAGTTTTACTACCGGTTCTATAGAACCGGTCCGAACTGGGGGCAACCCACCACTGCTGGACATGCGCGGAAGGCCATGCGCATGCACAGAGGTGGCGCGTGGGAGTGAAGCTAGAGCGCGCGTGCGCATGTTCACATTTGCAAACCAGTAGGAAAGGTAAGTGACTCCCACCTCTGTTTTTACATATATAACAATTGGGGGAACGGGAGGGAGGGGGCACTCGGTCTGCTCAGACCAATTTCGGAAGACGATTACTTGAGTACGGAAAGTTTAATCAAGAGCACTCTTTAAGCGAGAGTGGACCAAACTGTATGCCTCTTGAATCACAGGCCTAATCTTGTGGCCATAACCAGGTTTTAAATCCTCTTGGCTGGCATATATAAATTTTATCATCCCCAAAACAAATGTACTCTCGCCTTATCTCACTTTCTTCTGACTAATCTAATCAATTCAGGCGCCCTGTTAAAACTCTACGACCCGCCATCGAGCTCGGATGCGGGATTCTGTGAATCTGTTTGGCATGAAATCAATAGCTAACGGTTAATCCTGCTCTTAAAAGCGTTTCTTCAATGGCTGGATTTCGCATTCGGTAGGAGATATTGACATAATACTTGGGAGAGAATTTGGGATTATGCATTGGAATGTGAAGATTAGAAGAAAACAAAACTCTTTGAAAATAATTATTCAGGGAGTTTATAAGGTTTATAAAAAGCCAACGGTTCCGAGGAGGAATAGGCTGATCTGCATCTCGGTGCCAATGAATGAATGAGAATTACGAGGCGGTTGTCAAGAGATAGGTTGCATTCTTTACAGAACGCAGAATAACAGAGTTGGAAGGGACCTTGGAGGTCTTCTAGTCCAGCCCCCTGCTCAGGCAGGAAAAAGCCCTATACCGTTTCAGACAAATGGTTGTCCAATCTCTTCTTAAAAACTTCCAGTGATGGAGCATCCACAACTTCTGGAGGCAAGTCGTTCCACTGATTAATTGTTCTAGCTGTCAGGAAATTTCTCCTTAGTTCTTCTTTATTTAAAAACTTGTCATATGCATCTGATTGTGGCACATTATTTGGAGAATGATGAATGTGGCCTTCTTGCAAGGTTTCAGAAGGTCTCCAAAGCCTTCTGAAGCATCGTCAGAAGGATGCCCGCCACTCCTCTGCTTGCAACAGAATACCGTATGCCACCAGACTTGAAATTATGAGCTTAGACAACTTAAAACTACGCTGCCTTCGGTCTGACCTAAGCGTAGTACACAAAATCATCTGCTACAATGTCCTACCTGTCAATGACTACTTCAGCTTCAACCACAACAATACACGAGTGAATAATAGATACAAACTCAAGGTAAACCGCTCCAAACTCGATTGCAGAAAATACGACTTCAGCAACAGAGTGGTCAATGCCTGGAATGCACTACCTGACTCTGTGGTTTCTTCCCCAAACCCCCAAAACTTTAACTTTAAACTATCTACTGTTGACCTCACCCCATTCCTAAGAGGTCTGTAAGGGGCGTGCATAAGTGCACCAGTGTGCCTTCCGCCCCTGTCCTAATGTCCCCTTTATTTGTATTCATTTCATGTATTCAAATCATATTTATATTTATATATATTATCTCATACATGCTTGACAAAATAAAACAAACAAACAATGCTTAACGCATTGTAAGCCGCCCTGAGTCTCCGGAGAAGGGCAGCATATAAATCAAATTAAAAAAAACAAACAAACAAACTTTGGAGAAGGGCGCGCACTATTTGGAAAACAAAGCACACTTTTTTGAGAATGGTGTGTAATTCAGGTAGCGCTCAACTTGTGACCCCAATTGAGTCCAAAATTTCTGGTGCTAAGGGAGACAGTTGTTAAGTGAGTTTTGACCCATTTTACGACCTTTTCTTGCCACAGTTGTTAAGTGGACCCCTGCAATTGTTAAGTTTCTCATACGGTTGTTACGTGAATCTGGTTTCCCCATAGACTCAAGAGGTGATCACATGAGCCCAGGACACTGCCACCGTCATCAATACATGCCAGTTGCCAAGTGTCCGAATTTTGATCATGTGATCAAGGGGATAGGGGCAACGGTCGTAAGTGTGAAAAAATGGTCATAAGTCACTTTTTTCAGTGCTTGTTGTAACTTCGAACGGTCAGTGAACAAACTGTTGTAAAATGAGGGCAACCGGTATTTTGGAGAACGGCATGCACTATTAGGAGAATGGCGTGAGTGGCCTTAGGGAAGAAGGTCTGGTTGTGTTTCACCTCGAGATTACATTTGGACCATTATCCCTGCGGAAATAATGATGATGATGATGACTTTAGCAGAGAAGTCTCCACTGTTCTACACAATGAGTAAGCTGAGACAGTAGCACCGGCCCTGCCTGTTCCCTGAGGGCCAGTTTTACAAACATGGTCTCACATCTTGATTATTTGTGATGCAATGTCTCTGAAAGCCAGAAGAGCAGGGTTGGGATTCAGCCGGTTCGGACCAATTTGGGCAAAAAACGGGCCTCCCTGAAGTCTGGAAACGGGCCTATTTCTGGCCTCCAGAGCCCAGGGGAGGCAGTTTTCACCCTCCCGGAGGCTCGAGGAAAGCCTCCGTAGCTTGGGGAGGGTGAAAACACCCCCCACCGTGGTGCTGGAGGCCGAGTAGGCCATGCCCACCATGGCCTCACCCACCCAGCAATGGGGCAGAGAACCAGTTGCTAAGATTTTTGAATCCCACCCCTGCAGAAGAGTCTTCTTGGAGACAACAGGCACACCTCCATTCCACTGTCCATCTCTGAGAGGACAATCCCCCCTCTAAGCCCCATCAGATCTTGCTTATACATGCCAGTTTGGTCCTGTCATCCACGATCCAGATCCTGGATGAGAGAGGTCCGATTACAGTTCAACCTGGCATTCAATGGCAGCAGCTAAAGGTCAGGGCTGCTGAGAATCTGATAGCTGGACACAGAAGGAAAGCAACTGGATTCTGGAATGTGGAACTGACCAAAGCCACCTTTCCTGCAAGCAGACGACAGCTAGTCCCTTCTGCCCATCACTGCTGAATCATCATACTGAATTTTGCATTACCCAACACTTCCTCCAAACTGTACTCTATTCTGCTGAAAATTCTACTACAGATTTACTGAAAATTAAACTGGAAATAATGCTTTTAGCAAATACGTTTATGCTCAAAGGAAACAAATGCATTAAGACAGGGGTGTCAAACTAGATTTCATTGAGGGCCGCATCAGGATTGGGTTTGATCTCAGGGGCGGGGGGAGGGGGGGCGTGTGTGTGTGGCCAGGGTGGTCAGCTCAACATCACTCGTGTCAGAGGTGCTGGTGCGAGCTCAGTTTTCAGCTGCGATGGCCTCCTGCAACCCACTGTCAGTGAAGCAGAGGCACCACAGGCCGGTCCTTTGCTATTTTCAGATCTAAGCATTCCGTAGGCCAGATCCGCCCATCCACCCCCACCCCCTCAGCCTTGAGTTTGACACCCCTGCATTAAGAGCTATGTCAGCACTTCAAGCTGCATTTACTCTAGTGCTGACATAAGAAGGAGAAGAGGAGGCGTCTGGAAAGGGACGTTTGACTTTTCACCTACTTATTTTCCCTGGAGATAATATCCCCTAGGAGATGGGATGGGAGGGGGGAAATTCCTTTGAGCTGGAGCAGTAGATTAGGGGTAGAGTGACTTGGAAGATGGCCAATGAGTGCAGAGGAGTGGGGAAAGGAAAGGGAGGGTTTTGGGTCAGGAAGTCAGTGTTGGCTGCGATGGAGTCGGAGTTAGAATGTCGTGCTTAATAAATGGGAGTTTTTCATCAAAGACTTTGTTTGAAATGCAATTAATTTGAGACGACGTCGAAACCTGACAAGCTACACATCTGGCCATCCTGTTTCCTCCCCTTACCCAATATTTTGCTGATGTTGGAGTTGTGCATATCAGGGAAAGCCTGCAGGATCTTCCGCCGTTCGTCTTTCGCCCACACCATGAAGGCGTTCATCGGACGCTTGATGTGCGGCTCGTTGCTCCCGCGCCCTCTGGATTCTCGGTAAATCCGAGATTCTGAGACTCCGGCACTTCCTAAAAATTTGGGTGAAAAGAGAGATTAGGCAAGGAACAAATATTATTTCATGGTATTTTTCCTCCCATCATTGACATCCCAGGGAAGATACATCCCACCTGGATTTGTGAAAACGTCTTCAGAATTATTTATTTTGTAATCAGACTTTGGAATTTGCTATCAGCTTTGTTTGGCTGTCTTCAAAAAAAGAATTGGGCCCATTCATGGAAATCATTACTATTAATCTTCTCATCGTTCCTATCACCCATCTCCTCCCACTTATGACTGTATGACTGTAACTTTGTTGCTGGTATCCTTACGATTTCTATTGACTGTTTTCCTATGACTATCATTAAGTGTTGTACCTTATGATTCTTGACGAATGTATCTTTTCTTTTATGTACACTGACAGATATGCACCAAAGACAAATTCCTTGTGTCCAATCACACTTGCTATTCATTCTATTCTATTCTATTCTATTCTATTCTATTCTATTCTATTCTATTCTATTCTATTCTATTCTATTCTATTCTATTCCATTCCATTCCATTCCATTCCATTCCATTCCATTCCATTCCATTCCATTCTATAAATCCTTCCATTCCCCACTATCCTGTCAGAGCTGAAGAAGCTTCTTGGATGAGAAGCGAAAGGGCTTCAAAAGAAAAAAACAAGTAAGTCCAGTTGCCTCCTGAAAAAAAAACACCTTTAGCAGTAATGACTTTACCTAGTTAGGGTAATGAAATGTCTACAAGAAAACAAGCAAACTCAGAGAGCACCAAGGATCCCTAGGACCTCCCCCCCACACACACTCATACACACTTATATACACAGCAATTTGTCCAGAATGGTAGAAGGTCTCCTGCTTGAGTAGGGGGTTGGCCTAGAAGACCTCCAAGGCAGTGGTGAAATCTAAAATTTGTTACTACCGGTTCTGTGGTGGTTACTACCGGCTTGGTGGTGGTGGGGGTAATGTGACTGGGTGCGCGTGGCCAATTTTTTTTTTTTTACTTTTAAAACCATTTTTAAAAGTAAGCATAAAAAAATGCTTTCAAAAGCCTCTGACGATCCCAGCTGAGTTGCCTGATCGGCAGAGGCTTTTTTTTCTTTTAAATGCCTCTGTCGATCAGGCAGCTCAGCTTGGATCATCAGAGGCTTTTAAAAGAAAAAAAGCCTCTGATGATCGCGCGGCTCAGCTTGGATCATCAGAGGCTTTTAAAAGAAAAAAAGCCTCTGATGATCGCGCGGCTCAGCTGGGCATGGGGTGGGGGGGGCAGGGATTTTTGCTACCAGTTCTCCGAACCACCCGCCTCCATCGCTACCGGATCGGGAGAGCTGGTCCAAACCAGGAGCATTTCACCCCTGCTCCAAAATCCCTTCCAACTCTGTGATTCTGTCATATCCCTCATCTCCACCATTCTCCAGTCGCCTCTTGAAAAAGCACCTTTGGGACAGCCGCGACTTGGATGACTGAGAATCTCCACAGACATCTAGAGTCTAGACTATTTATGTTTAATTCTTTCTTCGCTGTGTTACAGTGCCAAACGTGTCTTTTGCCTGGATTCAGACTCAGCCAAGGAAGTAAGACGAAGAAAAAAATAATAATAATCCACAGATCGAAAGCATCCCGCCCCCATCTTTGCAAAGTTAATGTTTCTTTCCATGCTTAAGGAGCAAAAGATCTCAAGGCTGTTTCTTCACGGATTGTGTGTGCCCAGGCAGGGCTGGAAAGAAGACAAAAGGCCAAGCTACTGACCATCGGAGTCTCCACTCATGTTGAAATCTATCATCGCGTGGCTAAACTTCCCGTCTTCGTTCTGTTTGACTGCCAGCTGTTGAGTCAGGTTCTCCAATGTCGTTTTGTCCTTGGGTGTGGGGGAAGAAAAGAGAAGACAAAGCCATCTTTTATTAATAGGCAACGAAAAACCACAACATTAGGACGTAATTCGAAAGATTCCTTGGGGAAAGAAGATTAGCGTTGAAGGAAAAGTTGTTGAGTCGGGAAAAGAAATGAATGGGGAAAGGAAAGTAACGATCTTTTAAAGAAAAGCATTAGGAATTATCATTGTGGATATTTGTTCTTCTCGGCCAAACAATTGGTGGTTTTTTTAAGCCAATGATGTGCAAATCCCAAAAAGTTTGTGAAACTTGGATTGATATAATAATAGTTCGAATAGCCAGGCCATCCAATCTTCAAGAGCTTCTGGGAGTCAGGCAACCTTAGCCAACCTAATAAAGCATTATTTTCTTTATATTGTGATGTTAGCTTCTGTCAGTCAGTCAGTCAGTCAGTCAGTCAGTCAGTCAGTCAGTCAGTCTGTCTGTCTGTCTATCTGTCTATCTGTCTATCTGTCTATCTGTCTATCTGTCTATCTATCTATCTATCTATCTATCTATCTATCTATCTATCTATCTATCTATCTATCTATCTATCTATCTATCTACACACATACACATCTATCTATCTATCTACACACATACACACCAATGGTGGGTTCCAGCCGGTGTTACCACCAGTTCTCTTCGCGCACACGCTTTGCGTGCGATCGTTGCATGCATGCTGTCTTCACTCACATACGTACCAAACCTGCGCGCCGCACAAGCGCATTAGATTTCTGCCCAACTGAGGCGCAGCAATCCACTCTGCCGCACCTATCAGCTGGGCTAAAAAACGACAAATAAAGGTAGGTATAACGTGGAGGCGGGCGGGAGGGCCCAGCTCATAATCATAGAGAACAAGTTCCCTGACGTCACGCCATCACCACTACCGGCTTGCCCGAACCGGGCCGAACCGGGAGCAACCCACCACTGATACACACACATCACAGACCATTTAGAATACATAGTGGAATTCCCATAGAATCCCTCAAACTGGATGGCACTTTCATCTCCAAAACCCCAACACGCTTCCACGTTTAACCTTTTTATTGAGTTATAAAATAAAATAAGATACAAAATATGAAAGTAAACACCAACCAGTGCTGGGATTCAGCCGGTTCTCTACGGATCACACGAACCGGTAGCGGAGACTGTGGGAGGCTCTGCCCACCCACCCGGATGTAATGTGCGACTACTGCACATGTGCAGTAGAAGGCCTTGCGCATGCGCAGAATTGGCGTGTGTGAGCAAAGCGTGTGTGCATGTGCGCTCACTTTTGCTAACCGGTAGGGAAGGTAAGTGAACCCCACCTCTGACCCCAACACTCTTGAGGGGCTGGCTGGTTGGGGAATTCTGGGACGTGAAGTTCACTTGTCTTAAAGTTGCCAAGGTTGGGAAACCCTCCTCTTGCTGGCAGACTCCAAAGATGCCTGGTAGACGTTCCCTGAGTAGGAATCCTACAGTCCTAAGGCCAGAAGATGCTTTCATGCGCATTTATATGCAGAACTGCCAAACTATCGCGCGATGAGCGCACATGACCTTCTATTCGCACAAGTTCAACTGGTACCACTTTTAGCTGCCTTTCACTGCAGCACGACACTGGAGTCTCTGATTCGGGGACAAGGTGACCCCCCTCACCTCTCGCTACTAAAACATGCGGTATAATAAAATAATTCAATTAGTCACCATCAAAAGGAAAGCTGAGATAATTCTCAGAGGTTGTCACTCCAAAACAAACCATGTCAAAACAGTCAGCCATGCTTTTACGATGCCCCTCCGAGCCATGACTTGCGTGAACCTTCAGTCAATCTTGGTGCCGAGGAAAGGGAGAAAAATGGCACGTGGGAATCGGTGGCGGAGCAAGGGAGGTGAAAAGCGAATTGCAAAAAGCTTTAATTATAAAACAAATCAGGCGGCGATGGCCCCAATAGTTACACTGAACCAATCAAGTAGCAAATAACATCTATTTTTTCCTCTGTTTCTCTCTTTCCCTCCTTCCCTCCCTCTCTCTCTCTACACACACACTCTCTCTCTCTCTCTTGCATAAGCAAAATACATTATTTGAATTGAAAACAAAAGACCTGCTAGTCCATAAATCAAATGATTTAAATCAAAGAGGGGAGAACCTTTCAAACTACATCTCTGCTGGGATGTAGAAGGGGTTTAGAGGGGGGGGGGAAGCATAAGTTTCTAAAAGGCATAATTAACGGGGGTTACATTGACTTCACAATGCTCATTTCAACCAGTGAAACAGAAGAGTATTTCTGGATCGTTCTACCGAATCCACTGCTGTTGTTTGCAGAGGTTGGAATAGGAAGATGAAGAGTGAGCATCCAGTGGAATCACTTGAAGAAGAGATCTTGTCTTATAATAAGCTACACAAAAGAAAGAATACAGGTAGTTCTGGATTTACAACCACAATTGAGCCCAAAATTTATGTGGCTAAGCAAGACAGTTGTTGAATGATGCCCCATTTTACAAGTGATGTTGGGTGGCGAACAGTCATAAAACAATTAAAAGATGTTACAACATAGTACAAATCTATCTATCTATCTATCTATCTATCTATCTATCTATCTATCTATCTACCTACCTACCTACCTACCTACCTACCTACCTACCTACCTACCTACCTCTGTCCATCCATCCATCCATCCTTCTATCTATCTAACTGTCTGTCTGTCTATCTATCTATCTATCTATCTATCTATCTATCTATCTATTCATCCATCCATCTCTATCCATCCATCCATCCATCCATCCATCCATCCATCCATCTAGCTATCTCTCTCCATCCATCCATCCATCTATCCATCCAACCCCCCCTCTCTCCATCCATCCATCTCTATCCATCCATCTATCACCATGCATCCATCCATCCATCCATCCATCCATCCGTTGAGGAAAAAAAATGCTGTCATAGACATCAGTGCAGCCAGGAAATGGGCCCTTCACACACTCAGGGCCCCAGACCAGGGCACATAACCAGGTCTTCAAGGCCTTATGAAAGGCCATCAAGGTTGGGGTCATCCTGATCTCTGAGGGAGAATGTGCCAGAAAGTACATTTTGTAGCAGAGAAAGCACTTCTCCTAGTCTCCTGCAGCCAACATTCCTTGGCTGACAGTCCCATAGCATGCCCAACCTGTCAGACCAATTTCGATAAGTAGAAACCATTGGGAGATGGCAATCCCTCAGGTAACCCAATCCCACTTCAACATTTCAAGTTTCAACATTTCAACATTTCACGTTGTCTTCCAGTTCTGTCGTGCAGCTCTGAAATTCTAGATCCTAAATCTAATTCTCCGACATGAGCTTTCTTCTTCAGATGCTGAAGTGGATTACTTCAAAATACGGTCAAGAATTCTTGCTACCCTGTTTCCCCCAAAATAAGACATCCCCTGATAATAAGCCCAATTTTGAGCACATGGCAATAAGGCCAAGCGCCTATTTCAGGGTTCAAAAAAATATAAGACAGGGTCTTATTTTCGGGGAAACACGGGTATATTTGGAGGCTTCCTGTTTACGACACTGAGGGAGCCTCTGAATTCAGTTCATGCTAAAGCGCCCTTCTTTGCAGCTTTTCTCATAACACTTCAAATTCAGTCCTTTTTCTTTTTGTCTATTTAGTCCTGCTCAGGATTTGGGTCGTCTCAGAGATAATTAACAGCACAAGGGCCCAAACCCAATAGTTAGGTCATTCAAAGGAGAGAGAAAAACACCTCAAAAACACCTCACGGTAGAACAAGAAGAAATGTATGGAATTAGAACAAGGACGTCAAACTCAATTTCATTGAGGGCCACATCAGGGTTGTGCTTGACCTCGGGGGGTGGGGGTGGGGTGGGTATGGCCAGCATGACATCACTCCTGTCAGGGAGATGCCTATGGTGGCCCAGGCTCTTTACCAGTGAAAATGGCCTCCCGAGCTCCGTTTTCAGCTGGGACAGCCTCCTGCAACCCTCTGCCAATGAAAATGGAGCTCGGGAGAGCCGCTCGCAGCCCTCGTAAGCTCCATTTTTGCTGGCGGAGGCACTGCAGGCCAGTCCTTCGCTGTTTCAAGGGCCAGATCTAAGCACCCCACGGGCCAGATCCGGCCCCTGGGCATTGAGTTTGACACCCAGTGGAATGGCTCGCCTTCAGAAGTTGTGGGTGCTCCATCATTGGAGGTTTTTAAGAAGAGATTGGATGAACATCTGTCTGAAATAGTATTGGTTGAGCAGAGGGCTGGACTAGATGACCTCCCAACTCTGTTATTCTAGTAGGTGGCAATGCACTGCTGAACTACATGCTTCGCAGGAGAGAATTTTAATTCATGCGCATGACATCCATCAGTCGACAAAAGGAACAGATCTGTTTTTTCCATCCCATCCCACTCACAAATTAACTGCAGCTTGCCGACTGAGGGACAACCCACCTTCCTCTGGCAAAATCCATTTAGCAATTTCAAACGGGAAAGCACGATAATAGTTTCAGATTTGCCTATCGAAACGCATTCATTAATCATGGCAAACTGCATAGAGCAGAGTCAGTTTTAAAGCATGTGGGAACTCTTAATTATTCCACTGTTTGATTGTGCCCACCTCCACAGGAGAGAACAATTCTGAAAATATTTGCAGCACTGTTTGGACCATGATGTCCAACAATGAATCAAAGAGCTGGGCACTACTGCAGAATAAGTCCATGGATTTTGTTACAGCAGGGAGTCAGCCTATTGCCCCCCCAACAATCTGGCTCCTCATTTTACCAACCTCGGAAGGATGCAAGGCCGAGTCACCCTTGAGTCTGGTGAGATTCGAACTGCCAAATTGCAGGCAGCTGGCAGTCAACAGAAATAGCCTGCAGCACTGCACTCTAACCACTGCACCATCATGGCTTTGCCGAAGAAGTTCCTGAAGGCCTCTGACAGTGAAAAAGAGGCCACGTAAGTGAGGTGAGTCAGTGGACAACATCTGCCCCCCAAAGTAAGACCTGGTGCTTTTTTTTGTGGC